ACTCTTAGTTACTTGATCAAACTTGCAAAACACACTTGCCTACTTTCAAAAAACACTTGCCTACTTTCAAAACACACTCCACAACACAACTTTCAAAACAACTTTCAAAAACATTAAAACATCTTTTCAAAAAGACAAACATCTTTGTAAAACATTCGAGTAAAGAATTGTTACAACGGTTGCCTAGACAAGGCATCTTTTTCAAAACATTTTCAAAACATTTTCAAAACCACACACACAAAGCACCATTTCACACAATTGAAAATCAAGGCAAGTGATCTAAAACAAGTAACTAAGAGCCCATTGATAACCATGGATGAAAAGGGTGCTAGCACCTTCCCTTTTCATAATCGACCCCCCGAACCCACGAAAACATCTCAAAGGTTTTTCCTGTGCTTTTTAACTTTTCCTTTAGGATAAAATAAAAAGTCGGTGGCGACTCTTGCTAAACCGAACAAGTGCGAATACAAACGCAAAACCTCAAGTCAGTTCTCCCACCGTATCACAATAATCCTCTGACATCCAGTATTCATTACATTCCTAACCATTATATGTTCGACAAAGGCTTCTAGGTTTTGCTCCCCAACCACTACTTCTCGACCATTTGGTCGGCATTCTAGTTTCAGTTTTCTATTACTACTGGGGGTTGTTGTACTATCCTAAGTATAGGATCAACACACTGGAGAGTAGGTGGTTCTTGTTTGTTTCTTTGTCAACCACCTCCTCGTATTGCATTGGTTCCTCACATGGGGGAGGCACAGCTTATCGAACTAGAACTCTTAGGGCACCAAGAAAATCCCATATGCGAGTCATTTGAGTTGCTAAAGTCTAACAACTCTGCACCAAATTCTCAATCAATGGTCTTAATATGAGACTCATCTGTTGAGTAAGCATATTAACTATTTCCTGGTTACTTTCATCCATTTGTTTCCTCATGATAACAATAGTACTTGGGGTGAAAGTAGGCATGATTTGGTTGGAAATTCCCAATCCAATCGAGCGACCAAATTCATTTCCTAATGGGCCTAAAGCATGATATGGGGAAAACACTTACGCAAAATTTTCACCCAAAGTTGGACTATTATTATGTAGTCCTGCCATCATCATTGTTGGTATTTCATATTCATGAGTATTTCTTGTGAAATTAGGCACATATTTCCCAGAAGTTGGGACCACACTATCATTTGTCTCTCTTGTAAAACTAGGCACATGTTGCTCAGAAGTTGTGACCATTAGTGATATTGAAGTTCCTGGGTGTCTTGTGTTAAATATGTTTGGTGTCATCAAAGATACAACCACTGGACTAGAACCCACACTCGCCGCGCCACTGGTATTTCCTCCCAGGTTTTGATCCCTCTCAGGAGTTCTAGAATCTACCATTTTCTACCACTTCTTAATTTCAAGCACGAAACAAAAAGACTCAAACACAAACGTGTCCCGCTGGGTGTGCCAATTTGTTTCTCCGTGAAATAATCACTAGCCTCTTATTAAAGGTTACTTACAGGATCAGCTACAATAATCCTAGACTTAATGATTTGAATGTTTTTGGGTTGAAACTGGTTGATATTGGATAAAAGGGCAAAAGTAAAAGACAATTGCAGAGTAAACAAAGTAAATGACAAGAATTGTAAATTAAAGTGAAAAAAATTGGAAATTGCTATGAATTTAAATGTGGAAACATTAATACATTGTTAAGCCTGAAGTCGTTTCTCTTTTAGATGAGGGTACTTTGAGGGTAATACTCTAAATGTGAAGAAATGCGACCCTTGAAACAGATACAAATGTTTGCTTAAATAGGAAATATAAAAGTATAACCATCAACGATTACTACTCCCACGTTGGGTAACATGGAGAAAATAACTTTGCAATGTTATCACGTTCCTACTAGCTTGCGTATTGGTAACTGTTCCTGCCACCATATATCCTTGCTCGTCGACCCCTATGCTTGTCGATGGCTGCCTTTGAATCCCATGTCCTTGTTGATTAGCTCTTCTAGTCGACATCATTCAACTCAATTGACACATCCTTGTCTTTTCTACACACTCGTACCTTTTTAGCCAAACAAAATCTTACAACTTAAAGGCTTATTTCCCTAGTAAAAAATTTCTTGTCAACAAATTGCCCCCCAAAATTCCATGTTTGACGGAGCCTTGTCGATGGGAGAACTATGGTGTTTTCTCTTCCAATTTTTTGACCGTATGTCTCTTTGGGATGATGTCATGCTTAATCATGATCACTTTTTGCGCAACAGTTTCCCATGTCACTTCAATCACTTCTCATGATTATTCCTAGGTTTTACGGCGTGGGTTTTTAAATAAACCCCACTAACTTTTCCACTTCTTGGCTTGCTCACGCCATCTGTTTTGCTTTTAACTGTTTTAATTTCTCTTTAAATAGACTTTCAAAAACTCTTAGTTCCCTTTCTTCTCTTCTTCTGCCTCAGTTTAAACATCATCGCTGTAATACGGTGGGAGAACTGACTTTTGGTTTTACATTTTATTGCAAATGTTGAGGATTGCAAGAGTCACCATTGACTTTTCTTTTATCCAATAAAGGAAAGGGTGAAAAGAACATAAAAGACCTTTTGAGAATTTTTCTAAGTAAGGGGGTAGGTTATGAAAAGGGAAGGTATTAACACCCTTTTCATCCATAGTTATCTACGGGCTCTTAATCACTAGCTCACTTTGAAAATGCTTTGTGTTTGTGTATTTGAAAAATATTTTGAAAAAAATACCTAAGTGCCGCAAACTTTGTAATGATTCTCGTATCGTTATAACACATATAAAGTGTTTGTCTTTCAAAATATTTTAGAAAAGAGTGTATGTGAGAAATGTTTTTGTTTGTGAGAAAGCGGCTACGAGCTATCTACCTACTCAAAAAGTATTTGTTCTTTTCCTCTTCCTTTAGATAGTGTTATCCTACCATTAGTTAGTAGGAAGCCCTATCATTGGATGTTTGAGGGACAGGCGTGGGTCATTGTATAGTCATGAAGGCAACTCGTAGGATGCTTTAGCAATTGTTGTAAGGGACTAGGATCGTTTATCGAGGTAGCATCGAAGGGTCATCGAGGGACTATGATCTCTTAATCGAGGATATTTGCTAAAGTGTCCCACATTCGAGGGTTTCATACCCCATTTTTTACCCCTAATCTGTTCATTCATAACATTATATGCATTTAAATCATAAATTATTCATTCATTTCAGCTTTTAAGACATGGGCTCAAATGGATCTTGGCATTAGGGTTTTCCCCTATAAATTGAGGTTTCTACCTCTCTCAAGTTGATTCCACTGTTTCATTTATCTATCTTGGTACGGAACCAGGGTTTTGGATTTACAAGCATCATATGTATTTTCCTTGGCAAGATTCCTAGAGATACAAGTTTTTCTTCATCTGAATTTCTTCAAGAAACCAGTGCATTAGGATTTTACTTGTGTACTCAAGACTTTATCATGAATTCACTGTGAATGTCCTTGAGCTAGGTTTTGTTCCTCTCACCATCTCAAGCTTTCTTCATCCATATGCACTCAAGGTCCAGAGATTTAGGGTTTCTCCTAATTACCTGGTCTACAAGTTAATTCTTCTCGAGAGGTTGGGAATTTTCCTCAAGGGCATGTCTTTGTGTCAAATTCGTCAATGGAAGAAAGTACTTTATCAAGACAAGAGGGTTTTTTGATTAATGAAAAGAATGAATCATGGTACAAAAGATGAATGCGAGAATTCTTTATGATCAAGGTCTTATCTCCTATTCAACTACTTGTTACTTGCAAGTTAATTTGGATTCATTTTTATGAAGATATTCATTCAGGTGTGTTATTTGCAAATTATCCAAAAAAGAGCATGATTCAAGATATTGATCCTGGTTTCATCTGGACATCAAGCTCAAGCATTTATTTTGTTTAAGATAAGGATGGAAGATGATTCATAGGGCTTATTTGGACTTCTAGATATTCAAGTTCACTCAAAACTCTTAAGGATCAATTCAAGTGTACAAAACATAGTCCGTTCATGTGGATTTGTTTTAGGATCAAAGATTGTTCAAACTTGATATGAAAACTCCCAACGCATATACTTTGCTCACTAAGCTTGATTCGAACATGCTAAGTTGAAAGAAAGTTCATGTGGATTTCTTGGAGTACAAGTCACTTGAAACATAGTGCAAGGTTCATTAGTCGTTGTTGGCAATTTGTTTTGGCTTCATTCAAGCTAGCGAGTCATAAATCAAATTTCAACATTCAAGGCATAATTCAAGATTTCACGTTCAAAGATTCAAAGTCTGTTCCATCCCAAATTCAATTTCCAAAGTGTCTATTTCATTAATTTAAAACCATGTCTAGAATGTTGCATCAAATGTCTCATAGAAACCAAATTGATATTAATACAGTTCAGCCAATTCACTTACACTAATCATTACTCAATATTCATCAAATTACATTAATCACCACCATTACAATATAGAAGAAATGCGTAAAAATCTACACTAAGTTTTCTACATGACTTCCTTTATCTTAATTAGTCTTCATACTTCCATATCCAAATCTTCAACCAACCTCCATTTCCAAACTACAAGACTTTTGTGCTCTTGTTACAGCCCTGTTTCAGAACCGGTTTACCACCACTGGTCTACATCAGTTCAAGAAGAAAAAAACCATCCCTGCACGTGCGTCACAAATAAATTCCAAACACAAAACCATGTCCAAATCTTTTTCGTCTCGTCCATGATAGAAAATGAAGTCCTGCTGAATACCGGTCCTGTTCGAATAGATAAAATCAAGAAGAAAAAAACAGTTCAGAAGATCTAATTAAAAACAATTAGTGGCTTAGCATATTAAAAAGGAATTAGATCGGAAATAAGGAATATAGAGTGAGTTTTCAATAACAGACTTTTGTTTTGCATCAGTTGAGGAAAAAGCCAATTCTCACTTTAGCCCTGCAATTGAAAGTCAGAAAATTAAAAAAGACTATTCCAATACAAAACAGAGGGAAAACTCAGAAATTCTAATGATACAGCTCAACATATTTCAAACTTCTCTAACAAGCTTCATAACAGAATTTGAGATGATAAATGATATTCAATCTCAATCATTCAATGGTTATAACAGATTTTTGAAATCACGGGACAGGATTGAGTTACCTGTAGAAAACTTCTCATAGAAGCTAAGCCAACTAACATATAACAAAATCTTTCTTCAATCTTTAGAGGAGGACAATTTCACTTTTGTAGAAGAACTTCTCAGAAAAGTTTCAGAGTTCTCTCTGAATTCTCTGAGGCTCCAACGATTCTCTGAAGCTTCTTGGCTTTCATTTTGAATTCTTTGAGTTGATTTCTTCATATCCTTTCTGTTTACTTCCATGAACCTTCATCTTCAATAACTTCGATCTTCATCCTCATCATATTCAATTTATCAACATCTTCTTCACACGTATGCGTCGATTCTAATCATCTCTGAACCGCAACTATTCCAATCTGTAATTGCTTCATTATACTTTAATCACTGTCATCGTTTTTGTTTCATATCGCCATAATAACAACATCATTATGCATCAAAGGATTGAGAGTATAAGAAAAATGGCGAAGAAGAGAAGAAAGAACAGACGAGAATTGCATACATGTGTTGCGAATCGAAGAAGCACCGGACCATTCTCCGGTCGGTAAGTGTTTTTTGCTTTCTTCTTTCTTTATTGCTTCCCTGTTCGAAACATGATAGAATTGAAATTGAAAGCTCCTTCTTCTGTTCCTTGCGTGCTCTTGATTCGATTAAATGCGAGATGAGAGTTGGAATCTGAGAGCGGAGCCTTGTGAGTGGCGAATGAAAATGTGGCGAAACCGAATAGAAGCGACACAGTGCTTCGAGCAAAGAGGCGGTGAACGATGTTGTCGTGATGATTTTCATTGGAGACGGTTTTGAACGCAGGTCTATAGCAGCGCATTTTTGTTGATTGAGGAAGGTGAGAAAAGCTTGACCAAACGAACAAAGTGTGATGAAGAACGGGGTTCATGGTGGCGATTTGAAGCTTCGAGGAGTTAAATCGGAGGTTGAAGCTCGTAAACGGTCGTGTTAGCTTGATGTTGAGAGGAGCGGATTCGTGGTGGCGTGAGTTTGCTTGAGGGGAAGAAGAGAGAGTTTTCACAAAGCTGGAAGGCCACAACTGTTTAACCCTAATCCTGTTTCTCTCAAACGACGTCGTTTTTTTTATATTTAATTTGTTTATTTTATTTTATTTCTTTATTTAGGAAATTGAAAACAAAAAGCTGAATTGGACTGAATTAATTAGGCCTCGTTTTTGAACCTCCCTTAAGCCCATACTGCCATCAATTTTTGGAGCTTGTTACCAAAATATTTGTGCTTGACCATTCAGCATGGGCCTGGCGTCCCATTTATTTACAACACACTTGAGCCAAGCTTTATACCTCCCTCTATTTCTTATTCTTTTATGGTTTTAGTTCTATTTTCTTTTATTGTTTTTAGATATTAAGATAATAAAAAAGTAATAATAAAAATAATAAAAAGAGACATAAAAAAAATACTTTAGGCTTTTATAAGTATTTTAGGGTTATTTCTTCATACTTTTAATTTCTTTTAAATCAAATTTACACATCATGTTTTATGTGTTTTCTATGTGTAATATTGATCAAATAAGATGCTTGAGAATTAAGGATTATCTTGCATTGAAATGCCATGATCCTTTAGGATTCCATGAGACGATCAATCTCCCCTTTTGATCGTTTTATGTTGATTAGACCTTAGAAGGTTAATACAAGCACAAACATCAGAATATATTTTTCCTTCTTGCTTTAGGATAATGCCTTCATCTCCTCCTATTTCAAAAATCGTCTCCCTCCTTTTGAAATCACTTCTTGTTTCTAAACTTGGATCACTTTCATAATAAACTTGGACTTAGGTCCATGCATTTTCAAAATGTTTTCATAAATAAACTTCAGTCAAATTAACAATACTTTGAACTTTTTGTGAGAAGACTAAAAAATCAATCAATCTCATTCAAACCATTTTGCCATCTTGGCTTTCATCTTAAACTTTTCTCAAAAGATTCGACTCTTGTCAATCCTTGTAGTGATGCAAATAACTACACTTCTATGATATGTAGTGAAGTGAGATATTTTCCACTTGGGTGTTGAGTGAGGCATTGTTGATTTTAAAATCCAAGCCATATCCTCCACTTTGAGATGATACAAATTCTGTTTTCTCATAACCGTGGGTAGTAAGTATGTTTTCCACACGGACAATGACGATGATGTCTTATCTCTTAAAATCAACCAACACACTTGTGTCTTAAAATCTTTAAAAGAGGAACTACGTGTACCCTGATCCCCTATTGCACGAAAATGTGGTACGTAGGCACTAAAGGTTCGCAACCGCGGCAGGTGAAAAAACCATTAAAAAAATATATTTCTTTCCTCACCTCTACCATCTATTTTTTATACAATATTTTATAGGCAAAATATACAGATTTTTCAAAGAGGTTCCTGCAGAGTACCGTAGATGTTTAGGGTGCTAATACCTTCCCTTTGCATAACCAACCCCCTTACCTTGAATCTTTCCCCCTCTTTTTAGGTTACTCGCTCGTTTCCCATTCCTTTGGAAATAATAAAGCGTGGTGGCGATTTTTATTTTTGATCTGTATAAGTCTAGTCGATCCAATAGCTTAGTATTAAACATTTCTACCGCTACAGAGGGACATGACTCTTTTTTATTCGAGGCAACAAGTGAGGGTCACCCTAGAGGTGCGCGTGTGCAAAGTGCGTTGAGATTCAGTTAATTTGTCTTGGATTTATGGTTATCTAGCCTTTTGCTTTTAGTCTTTATCATACAATCCTATTAATCTAGCAGTTATATATATATATATATATATATATATATATATATATATATATATATATATATATATATATATATATATATATATATATATATATAATATATATATATATATATATATATACACACACAAAAATAATTATAAGTGCATAAAGTAAATGTGGGAAAACAAAACATACGCTATCACAATGCTTCGGGGATAGGGAGTACAAATCATAAAATGGAGAAAAAGTAAAGAAATCCTAATTATCTGTTACATACCTTATCAGTTACATAATTTATAATAATGAGAAAATGAATAAGCGTGTGGAGATTGAAAAAGGGAAAAATATTAAAAAAAACCTAAAAAATTTATAAGCATTAGAAAAGTATTTTTGGTGTTTTGCTTAGAAAAATATTTTATAGTGATTAACCCTAATTCTAAATAAATTACAAATTAATTAATAAAATAAAATCAAAGTTTGATTAAGTTAAATTAATTTTACTTATCAAAAATTAAATTAATTAATAAAAAAACTAAATCTAATTTTAGTGATTTTTTGTGATTTTTTTTTATTAAATAAAATCATTTTTAAAAGAGGTTAATTATCTAAATAAAACAATTATTAAAAAAACAAGAAAATGAAATGGGCCTGAAATACGAGTAAATTGGGGGGGGGGGGGGTGAATCTGGAATTACTAAGCCTAACAAGGAGCCCAGATTGCTTGCGCTGGATCCAGTGAGGGTGGCTCCTTGGGGTGCATCGTGTGGAGGCCATCAGCAACATTGGATCTGGCTTGATGATCATCTAATGGTGAGGAATCAGAGATGTATGATGCGCGCACGGACCTGAGTGGTATTGCATCTGAAATAGGGAAAACATTGAAAAATAACATGCCATGGGCAGGGATCGAACCCATGCCCTAACACACTAACACCTTAACACACACACACGCTTACCACTGGAGCGGTCATTACATCTGGTGTTATAATGCAAACCAATTAATATATTGTAAAATGGAAACTAATCTCAAATAAACAAAGAAACGCACGCCTGGTGGGGCCCTGGAATTTTGAATCAATGAATTAAAAGACAGCCAGATGCCACACAAGTCTTCAAGTGAGTCAGACCACCCCTCACGATGGTCAACTCTTTCTTCTTTGATTGGTCCAGAACTCAAACCTGCGAAAGAATAAAAACCAAAGCCACAAATTAACCCTAAGCCCCTTAAATCAAGGTCTGTGAATCCAATGGTGCTATAAGTTTTGCGTGTAATGGTCTGGAAGTTCTGATACAAAAACACATAAACATTTTTCCCTAACCATGGAAAAACTCAATTCTCACGTTACAACTTCAAAAATTTTGGTCCAGATTTGTTCTAAACATTCATATATGAAGTGGTTAGAAACAATCAACAACGCGTGAATTTAAAAAATATGAATGATGAAAAATTGCAAACGAAGATGGTAGATAACACGATTCAGGCCTGGGTAATCATTGAAACTTACCCGTACTTACCCTATGGATGTTCAGGAGATGATTTCAAGGCCTAGTTTGGATTGAAATCGCTTGGAGCTTGCAATTCGAATGCTTGCACTTTTTTGAGAAATTTTGTGATTCAAACCCTATTTCCTTGAGGCAGATTGCTCGTCTCTTTTGGATCTGATTTTTTTGTGCATATATAGAGAAGTGAAATGGAGAAACAAATAAGGGAAGGATCCTGGCATCAAAGCCATGTTAGACAAAAAAATTAAACACTTTTAAAGACTTCCAAATTTGAGATATCTTGCCCTTTTGAACTCCACACGATTTTAGAAAGATTTTTTACAGGCTTGCACGAGTTGTTTGGGCCTCCAAGAGTTTAGATCATAAGCCTTACATGCCTTGTCCATTAAGCTTGCATTTTATTTGATTTAATTTTGATTTTAAATAAATAAAATCAAAATAAATAAAATAGAAACTAAAATAATGCATGAATACACTTGAGGGTCTTTAAATATGTCATGAACACATTTGAATTCCAAAACTTAGGCCCAATAGCTCAAAATCACAAATTTGTTCAATTGAGATTTCATGTATTTCCTCAAAATTTCCCAACTTGTGCAACTCATAACTTGCTCAATTTTCATCTTTTGTATGTGATCTTTGACTTTTTGAAAATCTCAATATGTCCTCTACAATTTCCCCTTTGATCATTTTGGCATTTGGATACTTTATCTTGATGTAAGTTGTCTTGACAAAAAGTGTCTTTTGGTTGACTTTTGAAAATGACTTGTAATGTATTAGCTCATATCTTTCAAATGAAGCATTTTTTGGACTTAAGAATGTATACAAAGTTATAAAAAGTTGAATTTCCTTCAAAATGGGCTTTGGTTGGGGAAAATTTGATGAAGCATGTGAAAGTTATGTTTGGTCAAAGTTCAGTTGACTTCTTCTAAGGAAACCCTAATTTGGAAACTTGGACTTTTGATAATTTGAGGGCTTATCTTGAGGAATCGTGATTAACCCTTGATCAAATTATGACTATTAATTCAAAATGTTGATGTTGACCAAAAATCTTGAAGTTTGACTGTATCTTGACCATAGTTGACTTTTTACCCAATATAGTTGATTTTCAATCATCTGAGCTATTGACTGAGCAAACTTGTGATGCAAGACTTAAAACTTGACATGAACATTTTTGAAGACCTATGGAGAACCATGGTAATCCTTTGAGACCCTTGCAACCCAATATTCCTTGAGAAACTTAAAACCCTAGTTGTATCCCCATTGCTTAGGAGGAGACTTAAATGGTTAACCCTTGAGTAGCCTTGAGTACTTGAGAGCCTTAGAAGAATGTTTTAAAGAAAATGGGAGGGAAAATTTTGGGGTACAACATCTGCCCCTGTTCAATCTTCTTAAACCTGAAGAGTTAGATTGGCATGTCCGCCATTCATGACTTGAAGGTGGAAGATGATTGAACACTTAAGTGCCCATAAATTTGTACTCGCATACGCGTGAAGTAACATTGTTGGTTGATTATACCAAGAATGGGCTTAAAGATACCATTTGGAGAGGTAAAAGAGAGTCATTAGAGATGGGCTTATAGATTCCATCCAAAGCAACTGTTGATAGAAATTAGACTAAGTCTGCGCCTGACTTCAACTGGAAGAAGTATCATAATAAATCTACGCTCGATTTA